ATGTGGTTTTCCCCTTTTGGGGGGGCATGCACACCACTAAAAAAAAAAAAAAAAAAAAAACAGCCAAAATGGGGAAATCGCCTAAAAATAGCTAGCTGTTGCTAAATCGACAAAACGGCTAACACTGCGCCACTAGTTGAGAACAACCAACGGGGAAAACTGGAAATATGCTGTAAATGGCGTAGTCATCACTTCCAGTAAAAGATGTAGAGAAAGGAATTTAAACACATGCACATTTGAGTCGGCCAGGGCAAGCGCGCAGATAGGCAAATACGCACATGTGCACGCACGTTATACATGCGGGGGCGAGGTGCTGGGGTGGCTCCCACGCAGTGGGAGGCGCATAAGTGAGAGCTGCATACCCTACGCGCGCATGTGCTTCCATGTGTTTTGTTCGTGCTGGTTCGGGAGGCGCGAAGTTGCCGCGAAGTTGTCGCCGAGTTGCCTCCAAGTTGCTGCGAATTGATGTGAAGTTGTATAAAAATTTCCTCATGGTTTTCTTCCTGTTTGCCTTTACAGTATCTTTTTTGGCCCCTCTTTACCTCCTTTTTATTCCCCATTTTTTCTAACCAGCCGATAACAAACCGTACACATGCATACATGTGTGCACATTTAAATTTCAGCAGCAGAAGATTAGGAAAAAAAAAAAAGAAAAGAGGGAAAACTTAAGAAGCGGCCAAGTGGGAAAGAGGGAACGGGAGAAAAGCTGACGACGTTTCTACTCACATGCACGCTGATGTTAACGTGGATGTTCGCGCTCATGTTTATGTATTTTTTTTTGTTTTGCCCTTTTTTCCCCTTCTGCGCCTCCTGATCTTACCCCCCACGTCAATCCACTTTTTCCTGCCCATTTCACCCCGCCCAAGTCTGCAGCGCCAAGCCCTAATCTGCTGCCTCCCCTCATAAGGAGAAGATAAAGGCATCTGCTTCCCACATCCAACATTCTGTCCAAACAATGGGCCAAGAAATCTCCACGCCAAACGACACACAAAATGAAGAAAGCAAAGGAAGCTACAAAAAGAACTTGAAAGGAAACAATGCAAAAGGGGACCAGAAAGAAAATAACCAGCAAATGTCTAAAAAGATTGCTCAAAACAGTTTCAACAATAGTAAGTTAAGGCCAGGCATGTTCATACAAAATAGCAACGTGGTGTTTAATGAGCAATATAAGGGGATAAAAATTTTGGGGAAAGGATCATTTGGAGAAGTTATCCTCAGTAGAGACAAACACACAGGACATGAGTACGCTATAAAAGTGATAAGTAAGAAGCATGTAAAGAGAAAAACGGACAAGCAAAGTCTCCTCAGAGAAGTGGAACTGCTAAAAATGCTTGACCACATCAACATCATGAAGTTATATGAATTTTTTGAGGACAACAATTACTACTATCTCGTGTCTGATGTATACTCTGGGGGGGAGTTATTCGATGAGATTATTAGCAGGAAAAGATTCTATGAAGTCGATGCGGCGCGGATTATAAAGCAGGTCCTCAGTGGCATCACGTATATGCACAAAAATAACGTCGTACATAGGGATTTGAAGCCTGAGAACATTCTGCTGGAGACGAAGAACAAGGAAGACATGATTATTAAGATCATTGACTTCGGCTTGTCCACGCATTTCGAATACAGCAAGAAGATGAAGGATAAGATCGGCACTGCGTATTACATTGCGCCCGACGTACTGCACGGCACGTACGACGAGAAGTGCGACATTTGGTCCTGCGGAGTCATCCTCTACATTCTGCTCTCAGGTGAGTCTCCGCGGGGCGAAGTCGCGCCAAGACGGGTTGCCCGTCTGGTGGCCTCATTACCGCCTCGCCCCTTTGCCTCATCGCCTCATTACCGCCTCGCCCCTTTGCCTCATCGCCCCATTACCGCCTCGCCCCTTTGCCTCATCACCGCCTCACCGCAGGGTGCCCGCCCTTCAACGGATCGAACGAATACGACATCCTAAAGAAAGTCGAGACGGGAAAATATACGTTCGATCTGCCCCAGTTTAAAAAAATCAGTGACAAGGCGAAGGACCTGATTCGAAAAATGCTTATGTATACCAGTGCAGTGAGGATTTCTGCCCGAGACGCACTGGAGCATGAGTGGATAAAGCTCATGACGAGTAAAGACAACGTCAGCATCGACATTCCCTCCCTCGAGCTGAGCATCACGAATATAAGGCAATTTCAGAGCACACAGAAGTTAGCACAGGCAGCTCTGCTTTACATGGGATCGAAGCTTACAACAATAGATGAGACGAAGGAACTCACCAAAATATTTAAACGGATGGATAAGAACGGAGATGGGCAGCTTGATAGGAACGAATTGATAATAGGATACAAGGAACTACTAAAACTGAAGGGAGAAGATACGAGCGATTTAGACAATGCAGCCATCGAGTATGAGATAGATCAAATTTTGAGCTCTATCGATTTGGATCAAAATGGCTACATAGAATATTCTGAGTTCTTAACCGTTGCTATTGATAGGAAGTTACTTCTATCTACTGAACGTCTGGAGAAGGCATTCAAATTGTTTGACAAGGATGGCTCGGGGAAGATATCTGCCAATGAGTTGGCGCAGTTGTTCGGGCTGAGTGACGTTGGGTCCGATTGCTGGAAGACGGTGTTGAAGGAGGTGGACCAGAATAACGACGGGGAGATCGATTTTAAAGAATTCCGGGACATGCTCGTCAAGCTGTGCAATTACTGAGCGGTGATGGGTGGGGTGATGGGTGTCATGATCGGTGTCATGATCGGTGTGATGATGGGTGAATACACACCTCAGCCGAGCTGCGCCTCCCCGTGTGATGGCCGCCTCAAAATTTCCCCCCTCCTCTGCTCTCCATAATTAACCTTATTAATTCGATCACGTGCGCGGAAGCAGGTGCCCCCCCCCCCCTATGATGTGCTCCTACTGCCATGGGGCGGGGGCCCTTCGGCCACGGTATGCCTTTCCCTCCATTTATCTCGCCACATTATATTATACTCTGCCTCACTTTATTATACCTTTCCTGTTCTTCCTTCTCCCTATTCCTTCCCCGTCTTCCCTCACCCTCTCTTGGCGCTTCATTTTAAATATCAATTATCAACCCGAGCGCCCCCTGCGTGCTTGCTCCCCATGTCCCATTCGTGGCGAAAAAGAAGAAGAAGAAGAAGAAGAAGAAGAAGAGGAGGAGGAAGAAGAAGAAGAAGAAGAAGAAGAAGAAAAAAAAAAAGAGGAGGAAGAAGAAGAAGAAGGGGACGAAGAAGGGGAAGAAGAAAAGGGAAAAATAAAATGAAGAAATAAGTAAATATGAAATTTGAGGAAAACCCGACTACCTTGACGTGTCCCTTGGAGGTGTGCCACGCGGGTACACCTGCATATGTAGCGGCGCTTCCCGTTCGCCACGTCCCTTTTTGCCACTCCTCTTTCGCCACCTCCTTCTTTGCCTCTTCCCTTTCGCCGCTTCCCTTTCGCCGCTTCCTTTTTGGCCCCTTCCCGTTCGCCACCTCCTTTTTTTCCCATTTGGAAGGGACCCACCTCTCTGACCTTTTTCCAAATCAACAACAAACACTTATATGAATGAACGAACAACAAAGTTTGAAATTTGAGCATCTAGAAGGGAGCATCGGTGCAAGGATAGAGATAGACGATAGGGGACAAAGGATACACGTGTGTGTGAGTGTGTATGTATGTATATGTATATGTATGTGTCTTCCTCTGTCCGTGTGTGTGTGTGTTCGGAGCAGGACAGCAATGGTGTAAACCTGTTCTCCATCCGGCGTCACGCAGCACAGGGGGTAACATTTGGAGGGGGACAAAAAGGAGGAGAAAAAAGGGGGAGAAGAAAGTGTATACGTGAAAAACATCAAAGGGGAAGGAGAAGGGAAGCACCAATGGCAACGCTGCTATGGCGCGAACAACAACAAAGAGGGAGAATCCAATGACAGGTTTATACTTATCCCCCTCTTCTCCGCTGAAATGATCACTCCTCCCATGCGCATATTTCGCGTGGCATATGTTGGCCCAGCACACATACACACAGAGACAGACAGATGGAGGAAAAACAAATAGAACGATTAGACAATCAAGCCATAGAATTAAATTTGGCAAACTTTTTTATTCGTTTTTTTAAAAGTTCGTTCTCTCCCCGTAGGGATGCGACTTCTTTGAGTAGCTTCCGGTGGTTGTCTTCCTCGCTGAGTTTAAGGCTATGTGTAATGGTGGGTGTAGCGACAGTATGCTATGCATAACGGTAGTAACTCATCATGCGTATGGATGGAAAAGGGCACTTAAACTTCTTTGCCATTGCAGGGAGGCGCTCTTTTGGGGAACTCACCTTTGGTTTGGGGGGGCATCACTGGGGAGGGGCTTAGGGTCTTTCCTGAAGGGGGAGAAGCGGTACGTTGAGTTGGCGCGGTGATGCGATGATGCGGTGGTAGCGCTGTATGGCGGTAAGATGGCGAAGCAAAACAGCCGACTTAAAGCGCGCCGTCTGCCCGCTCACAGGGCAATGCATCCCTAAGGGGCCATTCAATCATCACAGGATGGCATACTAGCCCACTGTACCCCGCGCCGTCGTTCCCGCTGTGCTTACTTCTGGCTCTCCGCGCTTCGAACACGTCGGTTCGTTTTGGCCTTCTCAATGTCTACGATGAGGAAAGAATGCCAATAGGGTGAGAGGCGACGCGAGGGTACATTTTTGCGTCCCCAATTGGGGTGTCCCCGTTCTTCTGTAAACGGGAAGACGCCTCAGGGGGTACTTCTCAGTATGTACTCCTCAGTGTGTACTGCTTAGTGTCCACTCCTCATGTCCACTCCTCAGTTGTACTTGCCGCGCTACTGCGTGTGTTCCCTACCCTTGGTGAGCGAGTCAACCATCTTGGAGAGTCTGTTTTTCTCCGTGACGAGAAGGTTCAGCTGATCCGATATGGCTACATTTTTCTGGTGCAGCATTATGTTGTTTTTTCTCAGCTCTTCTATTTCCTTCATGCACCCGGAGGTGCTTTTCCCTTTGCTTTTCTCTTCCTATTTTTAGGGAGGCGACAAATGAAACAACGCGATGTGAAAGGGGGTGTCAAATGCGACGTCATCATGGATGGAGGGGGGAAGAATCGGGGTGCTCAGCCATAGCGTCGGCAACACGTTGATAGGGTTCCATTAACATAAATCTGTCAAGGGATAGACCGCGGACAGAGGCGCTCCGGCACGACAAAAGGCAGTCGCATGATCGGCTATATACCTCCAGTGATTTGTTCAGACTCTCCATCTTCAAACTCAGCTCTTCGAGGCGACTCTCCAGCTCCGTTTTGCTTCTTTTCTCTTCCTGGTAATAGCAGTTTATCTTAACGGTCTCTCTTCGCAGCTCGTTCTGCGACGTGGTGGAAGGTTGCCAAGTCATTTGGGTGGACGGAACATTTTTAAGATGAAGAAAGGAGGGAAGGCTGCGCAGTTCGCTTGTACAGTGCGCCATCCGTTATTAGAGTCTATCTCCCGTTTGTAGTGTGCGCCGTCCACTTGTACGGTGTCTCTCCCCTTTGTAGAGTGTGTCAGTCGCTTCCTCTTTGCTAACCTTTTCCTGCTCAAGGGCCTCCAGTTTGGCCCGTAGCGTTTCTGCTTCCTGCGCGATGGCCTGTGCGTCAGAGGGAAAGAAAAAGGATTGACGGAGTGCAAACGGAACGGAAAAGGGTCCACAAACATCAGCACCCCCTTCGATTGATTAAGAGTCCATGTTGCGAAGAGGAAGAAGAAGAAGCAGAAGAAGTCGTAGTCGAACTAGACGAAGAAGAGGGGCAGTTACCTTTGTCTTTTTTTCGTCCACCAACTTCTTATACCGTTCGATATCGTTCAATAAGAGCTTGTACTGTTGTGACGTTGGAGGGGTAGAGAGAAAAATAAATACACAAAAGAGGGGGGTAATCAAATTGGGGTATTACAAAGGCATGCAAAAGGCATGCAGCAGCGATGCTTCCTGCACAGAGCAGATTATTCGCCCCCTCTCTCCGATTGTCCCACCTTGTCCTTAAAAAACAAGTCCACATTTTTGTACTTATCCTGTAAGAGCTTTATTTCCTTCATCAGGTGTTCATTCGTTTTGATTAGCTCGTTCTCATCTTTGAACCGCTTAACCGTGTCTGCGGGGTGAGGACAGCATGTGCGAGATGGGTGAGATGTTCCGAAGGTTCTCACATGTAGTAGGAGATATGGACGTTCGAATGCGCGTTTTCACCCCGCGAGAGGAGGCAGTTGTCTCCCTACCAAGCTGAGTCTGGAACGCTTCGATAGTATTCTTAAGATCCTCCTCGAGCATATTTTTCTCTCCACGAAGTTTCTTTATCTTCTGCAGGTACTTATGATTGAGCTTCCTATTCGTTAGAAGCTCTCTGTTGACATTTTCCAGGATGGCATTCACGTCTACATTGTCAAATATATTTTTGGCTCTTTTATTTTGGAAGCTCTGATTGATATTGTTAAAAATGTAGTCGTTTAGGATCTGCAGATTGGCGTGCATGTACCTCAGGATGATGGCAATAAAATCTCGATGCCTTTTCTGTAGACACTTGCAGAAATAGTATTCTGAATCGCTCGTGTGGAGAAAAAACTCATCGTTTCCGCTATCCGCACGGCGAATAAACTCGACATAAGGATATACATCACTGAATTTGTAGGTCCATATCTGCGTGTTGACGTTACTTTGACTGACAAGCTTGATCTCATTTTTGTGTATGTGCAGCATGTGTAGCGGATCGTCTTGTTCACTCTCCACGTTTGAGCTGAGGTTGTTTTCATCGACACTGGTGCAGTCGTTGTACGCGTCGAAACGTTCTGCTGTCTGCTTCGCAGTTGGAGGAATAAGGAGATTAAATGGGTGGTCCCCTCCATAGGGCTTCCCCTCCTTGTCCTCAGTTTGGGTGCTCTTCCGGAAAACATATATTGGATACCTTATAATGTCATTCTGTATCACCGTTTGGAGCATATTCTTCGTTTTTTCGTTCAGACTGAATGGTCCCACTTCGGCTACTGCCACTCCGGAGTACTTCCCATTGGGGGGGAAGCTATTGGAGGGATTGACACTCGTTTGGGGGGGAGCACATATGGGATTCCTTTCCTTTACGGATGATTCGTACGGATCTAACGTGAAGTGTTCTTTCTTAATGTTGTTGCTGTGGAGGTCTCCTCTTTCGTTTGTTCTACTCATATGATGGTTGGTGCTCTCGGGAGGGACTCGACTGGACGAGCGGGACGGACCACTGCTTCGATCTCCACGTCGGAACGGCCTCATGTGATGAAGTGAATGCACCTCCGATCCGTCTCGATCATTACTATCGGTGAAGCTATCCTTAAACGAGGAAGCGTCGTTATATAGCTCCACATCACTGCGCAGCGACTGGTCGACACGTTTACTATCGACATGTCTACTGTCGTCACCCCGATCGCTCTCGTGTGGACTCCCTAGCGAGGTCCCCGCGCTGTTCCGAGGATACCTACACCGGGTGCCTCCTTCCAACTGTCCATCGTTAACGTAGGAACACTCGACACAGATTTTGAGTCCTATGTCGTCACAAGTTAGTTCATACACGCTGTCGTACTGCGCTATTTCAGGGTGGCTCCTCCCATCTGAGTAACTTCCTCCATCTCTAGAACTCCCTCCACCTCTAGCACTCCCAGCCGTGTCAATCGATTCACTGCTGGCACCCCCCGCAACGATGGCCGAGTCTGCAAAACTGCGACTTACCTCGTTGCACCTTTTATCACAGTAGATGCGTGTCCATCGATAAACACAAGGAATCCTTCTCCTAGTATCCCTATCGTACGCATAGGCAATAATTTTATTCCCTTCTTCATCACAAGAGAGTTGGACGTGAAACCCAAAGTTGTGATTCCCCCGAAAGGTTATGTCCCTCGTGTTGCAAGAAAAGATGTCTTCATTTGAGTTTTTCTTTACATCTGGTGTGTTCTTCGCGTCTCTGTTATCCCTGCTGTCCCTGTTGTCCCTCCTCCCACTGCTGAATAGGTTCTTATACGCGTCTTTTCTGATGATGATTTCCCCCTCGTTGATGTAGATGGTATTTTTAAGATCATCAATATTGCAAGGAGATTTGCAGAATGGGTAATTCATATTTTTGGATGCTTCCTTTGCTGTGCACTTTAGGTGTTCCTTCACTCCTTCGATAACATTTTTGGCATGTTTCATTTGGTTCCCTAGGATTCCGTTAAAGAGTTTCTTCATATTGCTACTCTTACCATGTGACAACACATCGTCTGTCTCCTCTTCCTTGATGTAAGAAGTCTGTTTCGCTTTTGACTGCATTATTACACATTCGGGCATACTTCTCCCCCTTCCTTCTTCTACTTCAGTGGGAGATACTCCAGTGGGAGCTACTTTCCTCCTCCCTGTGCTCTCTTCCCTTTTTATTTCCTTCAGTTTGGTGACTTCCATTTTGTCTCCACCGCCGTTGCTTCGGGGTTACGGCAACTTAGGTGTAGCCTTCCCGTCTGGCACCAACTGGAGGGCCAATCTCCCCGTCGAGCGGTGTTATGGTCGGACTGGGATACCGTCAAGCTGAGTCAGCCTCCTCTTTTTTTTTCCTGGCGCCTTTGCACTGGGAAACCTTCGCTTACTCGTTCCGCTCACCTGAAGGTAGCATGTTCACCACACAGCGTGGGTATGTGGGTCTGTACGTGTCGGGAGCGAGTCGCACGAAAGGCTGACAAGAAGGGGGGCACTGAGGGGGTCTACGTAGCGAATTGCAGAACTAGCCACGGACACAAAAGAGCCTGATGAGCGTGCCCTAGGAGCGTTCGAGTGGCGTTAAAATGGAGTCACACAGGCATTGAGGTGAAGTCACACAAACGTTGAAGTGGTGTTACTCATTGAAGTCGTGTTGACATGCCGCTTAGCTGACGCTAAGCTGGCGCTAAGCTGGCGCTGAGCAGGGGCTGTGGCGTGTGGCGCGCCAAACGCAGTGACAGAACATCTGGCAGGGGTTATATCCCCAGTGTGTGCATAGGCGGTCGCACACTCGGTGCCGTACACACATGCATAGGAGGGGAAAAGAGGGAAAGAGAGGCCCTCGCGCAGCCAAGTCGGCAAAGGGCCAGCTCCAAACACAATGGGGGATTGCACGATTAGAAAACAAAAGGTCTATCGTATTGTCATATTCCCCCAAGTTCATAAACGATCAGATGGGTTTATTAATTATTGCTGCTTCTTCCTCACCCCTCTATTAAAAAGGGTAGCAAAAAAAAAAAATGACACGTGGGAAGCGGCGATTTTGCGGGGAATTTTTTTTTATTTTTTTTTTTTGCCCCTCCAGGGTTTAAAGAGGGTCCTTAATTTTTTTCCGTAAAATTAAGATCATGGCAGCTTTGGCGACAATTTGAAGTGGCCCCTCAGGAGGCAGTCGCGGCAATCACAACAGTTACGGGCAATCAGGACCGTTACGATCAATCATAGGCAACCAGTTCGAGTGGCCATTCAAAGTGAAACACGCATGGGTGGGAAATCCCCCCCAAAAAAACGGCGAGCATTCACTAACACACGGTGGCCTCTCCCTGTTGCCAGGCGCGGGAAAAAAAAAAAGTGCTGATGGGTGACAGAGGAGAAGAGCAGCAGTACCAAAGCAGCAATGGAACCGTGGAGCGGCGGAACAGCGGAACAGTGGAACAGCGGAA